ATAAGCCTTTCTTGTGTCACAAATACGTCAGTATCACAAGATGTTTTGTATAGATGGTTCTGACAGAGACGTGTGTTTAGTTTCTAATTGTCTTTTTTTTTTTTTTTGTTTATGTGAAAGAAACTGGAAAAGACCACGCACATCCTTTGAGAGAAGAGGAAACATAAGTGATAAAATCCTGAAAAGCTAAAAAAACAAAAAAAAGAAGAAAACTTTACCTTGATGTTCAAACAACCATACATCTCTAAGTTTAGATGTGTAAAAGTGAAGGGGGGGGGGGGTGTTGAATAGGAATCGTTAATGTTTTGGGGAACAGGCTCATTAGCTTTGTTGCAAGAACTTAGGATGGAGAAGATTGATACAGGAGTAAAAAACTGCGCGTCCTGTAGCTAGCATAAATAACAGAAAACAAGGGAAGTTGATAGCCTGGCTCTGTCCAACGGTACCTACTTGCCACCTGTAAATCTATTATTAACAGCATTATATGTAATTATTTAATCTTGGTGTAAAAACAAAAGTCTTTTTATGAAGGGTTTGTGCAACTGATTATTATACACTCGTATATATCTGTATGTGGGAGTTATTGCCAAGACCATTTTTTTGACCGCAGGTGGGACACGCTAACCTTCCTGGAGTTTTCCTCGAGGTTGTTGCCTGGGCAACGGGTTCGGCTAAAGATATGTCTTAAACTTAACACTTTTGAGTTTTTTCGCATAGATTAAAACATAATGAGGATATAAGCACTAATAAGTGAGCTCTAGAGGGTTGGTACGCAAGTGTCTTGGTACTGTCGGACAAAGCGTGCTAAGCTAAGCTAACCGGCCGATGGATGTAGCCTGATGTGGAACGGACGTCTCATCTGACGCTCTGCAAGTGAGTGCACGAGCGTTTTTCCACACACTGTCGGAACTATTCCTTTTCAGGATGCTCAGCATAAAGGTGAAACACCTTCAGCTACAAAAGAATTAAGTACTGTCTGTCAGTAGTGTGATGATGACCTGTTCATATTTGTGTTATTGATTAGGGAGAGATATGCCATTGTTTAAAGATAGACAGTGGGGGCATTGCAGGTGTGGTGACCCTGTTTGTTAGATGACAAATCTGAGGAAAAAAGCAGCCTCTTCTTAACTTTTTAAGAGTCATCTGTCGGTCCAGTGGTCTGCTCCAGTTTACACACCAATACCTTATATTTATCTCTGTCCTGTTCCCTGTGCTGTACGTTGTTTAAACAATGGAGTTTTGTCTGTGTTGTCCTTGGTTGAAGTCTTTACCACAGCTTTCCTCTCCTCCTCTCTGTCTCCTTCGAGTCTCTTTCTCTCCTCAGTGCACATAGGTGGTCCCCAGAATGCTGTGTGTAGTCTTGCAGGATACCTCTTTTTATTAATGTCATTTATTGCCGATGAATA